TATTTGATTTAATTTTTTATAAATAGCAATTATTTTTTAGGGGTTTGGGATTTGTCCGGGTTTGGCCGGCAAGTATAGTCATACATATCTGCTTTTCGTCTTTCTTAAATGGTTGACACATTGTGATAACATGATCTTGTAACGCGCAAGTAGTGGTGCAATTTATTATTACATGATACTCCATCAAGTTTTTGAGATTCCTTGAAAGCTCATGATCACTGATATTTTTAGGATCCAAAAGAACATTATCTATCTTGAGCTCTTTTTTCATGACCAAATGTGCATCATATAAGTGAACAAGATAAAGGTGCATTCTTAATGGGCCAAGCAAAGTATATACCTGAAATTCTTTATGGTCTAAACATATGGGTAAACTATCAGCCATATTGGACAAATGAAATGTCACAAGCCTGAGTTGAATCGACACATCACAAAGCTCAAGATACTCAAGCTGCTCAAGATTCTGCAAAAGAGTATATGAATAGAATCATTAATCAAGAATCTTATAGCCTTCCTTGGTTGGAAAAAATGAAATTCGATCAACAGCTACGCTGCGAGAACGTTGAGCATGACACGCATTATAGTCTTTCTCATCATCACAAGAGCCTATTCGACAAATTTTTCTTTTGAAAGGGCTAGCAATATTGGTTGTAAATTTTTGCTTTCGAACTGGTTTTTTGGAAGTATTGGTTTCATTTTCTTTGATGACAATTTGTTTATCCATTTTGAATTAAACATAATATATTTCCAAATAAACATTATTTATATATGAATTTACATATTATGCAATTAGTCATTTTAGCGTAAATAAAAATATATAAATGCAATTTTCTATTTTTATTTAGTTTAAAATAGTTTGCTAAGCTAATTTTATTTCTAATAATACAAAGAATATTTTTTTTGTGTTTAAATGAAATATTAAATACATAAAGCCAAAAATAACACCTAAAAAAAAATATATAAACCATTTTAGCAAAATATCTTTTGCTAGTGCTTTAAATGTTTGAAAATGAAATACCAAAGGAGAATTAGAACACGATCATGATATTCAAGAATTTGAAAACCTACCATTTAAAATTAAAATTGAAACAATTTAAGGAAAACATAACATTGCAAAATTCTTTTTTTTAAACAATCTAAATGAAAAAATCAATATTTCCGAAGGTATTATCTGTATGGACGATATATATAAAAAAAAAGAACTACAATATATGATGCCCGATATACAATATTATCTGATCGAACTTCTGATGAAATACGTAATCTATTACGATTCTGTAAAAAAGAAAAGCAACAAAAAAACAAAAATCTACTCTATCGATTCTCAAAAAAAATACATCATTCATAATTTTAAGAAAACTAGCGAAACATTAAAAAATGAACGTTCAAAAAGAGAAACTAAAGAAAAAAAGATTAAATAACGCAATCATCATTTGTCGTATTGATCATTCCATGTTTCCTACTTTTTTTTAAAAGATAAATTACATAATTTATACATGTTTACGTAAGATTTTGATAACCAAAATAATTACATTTATTAGTTGTTAAAATTTCATACTATTATTGTATTTGGAAAAATTACATAATATTGGAATTCGGAGATTCCAAATTTATTTGTTTAAAAATAAGCTGACCCAATTCACGGAATTACTAAAATTTACTTGAAATTTTTAAATTAAATACAAAATGCCTTCATTCTTTTTTACTGCCAAAAAATTTTTACTTTCAAAATCATTAATCCAACAAAAATATAACAAAATAGTCTTTTCCCTCGCTACTCCAAATCTTGCTGGATATTCTTATTTAAATCTTTTTAAAGAAGAATTTCATCCTGAAATGGCTGAAATATGTAAAGAAGGTCTAACTATGAAGCAAGTAGTTAAGATTGTAATACAAAATCCTAACTATGATATGTTATATTCTAAAAAAGTCAAAACAACAAGGTTTGATGAAATGCAATTATTTAATATTGAAAGAGAAGATGAAGGTGAATGGGAAGACACAAGTGGACAAGAATGTTTTAAAGTTAAAGAATTATTATTTTTTATTGCAAGAAATTTTTAAGAATATAAATTTATGTAATTTTGTACAGTCGATACTGTCTAAATGCATGCCATCAGGAAAGGCAAAAAAAAATCAAATTTATGCATTTATACAGTATCAACCAATCGAATACCAGAAAATCAACTGTCTAAATGCATATTACTAATAAATTTCTTTAAAAAATTATGCATTTAGACAGTATGCAGTATGCATTTGGACAGTATTGACTGTATTTATTATTTTAAACATGTAATAATAAAAAATATTTTTTCACATTTTCATGATGTTTCGTGATTATATTACTTTTAAAGTTAGATTTGATAATCAAATTACTTTAAAGTAAATAAAATGAGAATGGATTTAGACTTGAGAATGAATCAATTTTGGTAATCAAAAGTTTTACTTTTTGAGGTAGAATCTGAATATCAGTAAATCACAGTGTAAATATAAACGCGTATATACGCATAAATTTTGATATGTTAAAAATTATATAAATACGTTCTTTTACCTGGGTAAAACTAAAATGACAAACAATTATAGATTTTGCCAAATTATAGCAACCATATTTTATTGCATTCCTTGTATAAATTCCTTTAAATGTAAGAAAAACTTTACTAAAAAAGATAAAAAGAGTCGTGAAGACATTTTTGCTTGAACTGGTAAAGCTCCGTTATGCGCAAAATGTTTGAAGAATCACTGGCGCTGTAAAAATAATACGTGTATAAATTGCTGTATGTTATATAAATGCAACGATTTTGTTTGTTCTTCATATAACTCTCTTGGTATTGAATGCAAACACGTTCTGCCACATACTCAAGCAGAATATAAAGAATTAGAAGCAAAGGGTCTTATTTACTCATCTGGTCAACCTGAATCTACTGAGAAAAATCAGTTTTACGAGCAATGTTTCTTTCAATTTAAAGATCGGCAAACAGTAAAGTCTGTCAAATCTTTGTTTGGGCATCATTCTATGAGTTTTCTAAAATGTTTAAATAGCGACTCAGAGCAAAATCATAATTATAGCATGAAAGCATGAAATCATTGCAAAGATGCTGCACATGCTAAAAACTGTCATTGTGACTATTTTGATCATTCAAAAATTTGTATTTTTTGTACTGTTGAATGTATTGATAAACGCACATCAGCACATTGGGTTGATAATGGTGTTGAATTAGGTCCATGGGAATTTGGTTCATATCGATTTCTTTCCTCTCAAAACGAATTTCTTGGATTGGATGAAATTAAAAAACATCATATAGAGGATATGGATCATGTTAGTCGAATCATTGAAGAGGGCATTTCTACATGTGAGATATTAGAGGATATTAAAATATTATATCCATGATATTGGCTTTGATCTTTGCAAGATTTTTTTTTTCTTGAAAAAAAAAGAGAACATCTTTTGAATAAAAAGCTTAAAAAATTTTGGAGACCAGTTACATTTTACATTTATGGTGAGAGTGAAGCAGGGAAGTCTGGACTGGTTTCTGAATTATTTTTTAATGAATATTATACTAAGCCTAAGAAACAAAAATCAGGTTCTAATTGGTGGGACGGGTATAAGAGGCATGAGATAGTTCTTATTGATGAATGGTATATATCGATGGATTGAAATGATATGTAAAATATTTGAATGATACACCTGAGACTGTGGAGCAAAAAGGTAAAACATTTGTTCCTTTCTAAGCAAAATATGTATTTATAACCTCGCACAAGCTGCCGGAGGAAGCGTTTAATTTTCGACGCCATAATGCAAATGATGAGATGTCAACTCAACGTGATTGGGGCCAATTCTTTTGTCATCTTGATTTTATTATTGAGTTCCGTGGTATATGGCATGACGAGATAGAATTTCATACTACCAAGTTGATATTTCATAAAGGTTCAGAGAAAGAATTTTGAAACATGACATGGGATATCAAATATCATAAAAGTGAATTTATATCTGAGGAGCTAAAAGCTGTGGTACAGGAGTTAAACAAGGATCAAGATGGTGAAGTGATTATTAAAGCTGACAATTAGGTTTACTGGCATCATCACTTTCCCGAATTCAAGAAAAACTATCTACGTGACTATCCTAGATGCCACGAGCTTTTGAACTACAAGCAGAAACTTCTGCAACAATCGCAATTAGTTTTATCTTCAACTGTGGCTAGAAAAAGATCTCAAGAATATATATCTGAATCTGAATCGTATTTTGATGATGAATCCGACTATAGTCATCAACAATCAATAGCTGAATCTAGCATTACAGCCACTGTGAGAAAAAGAACAAAAATTTGTAAACAATTCAGAGTATGAAATTGAAACAATAAATGATAATTCTACATAATATTTAGAAAAGGATAGTCTAAGTTTTGAACGTTTATAAATTCATTTAGTTTAATTAATTAGTTATAATTAATGAATCAAATATGATTCTTATACTTTTTTTTTTTTTTTCGGTGTTAAGGTGACCTCTATGGCCAGGGGCTTTTTATTAGATAATTAACAACGTTTACAATTATGATGAGGGTACAACTAGCCACACGTACAACTTTTGGTT